GGTGATGGGGGAGGGCAGGGGACCCGGACCCGGCGGTCACCGCTGGGCGAGCGCAGGGGAGAAGGAGAGGGCCGGGGGGAGCCGGGCGGCCTCCTTGGCGTGCGGACCGGCGCTCACCTGTGGACAGCCCTTCTCGGGGAGCGCCGGCACACGAGCGGTAAATCCCAGGCGTGCTGGAACAAGGGACGTTCCTAGCGGCCGCCCCCGGGAATGGTTTCTGAGGGAGCATCGCGCTGGCTCAGCCCCTCGCCCAGCTCGTTGTTGCCATATGAAGCCCAGGTGCTTGGGTTTTGCAGAGGCAGAGGCAGTGCCCGATGCTGTTTCGTTGGGGCAGCTTAAAGAAAGGTTCCTCCGTACGTGTGAAACTCGGTGCTAAACTGAAGTTGGTGCTTTTGGGGAACCGTTTAGCAAAGGATCAACGCAGATTTGTTTCTGGCTGCCTTTTTTCCAGTGTCAGTATCTTTGTGCTTTGCTTTCAGAGGCAGGTTGGCAAGAATCTTAATTGTATGCAGTTTATTTTAATCTCTGCTGCTTTTAAATGTGTCTCACTGTAACTCTATTTAAAAAAAAAGTTGTCTGAAGCTGGCCTTTCATGAAAGCATTTAAACAAAACATGTGTAAAGCCTCCTCTGTGTGTGGTTTTTATGTGGATGGACATGATGGACATGTTTCCCTATGCGGACAGACTGAGAGAGTTGAGTCTGTTCAGCCTGGAGCAGAGAAGGCTCCAGGGAAACCTTTTTGCGGCCTGAAGGGACCTACAGGAAAGCTGGAGAGGGGCATTTTACCAAGGCATGTAGTGATAGGACAAGGGGGAATGGCTTTAAACTGAAAGAGGGTAGATTTAGGCTAGATATGAGGAATAAATTGTTCACTGTGGGAGTGGTGAGACACTGGAACAGGTTGCCCAGGGAAGTTGTGGATGCCTCCTCCCTGGAACCTGGAAGTGTCCCAGGTTGGACAGGGTTTTGAGCAACCTGGTATGGTGGGTGGTGTCCCTGCTCATGACAGGGGAGTTGGACTGGATGAGCTTTAAGGTCCCCTTCCAACCCAAACCATTCTATGATTCATTCTGTGAGTCTGTGAATTTTATTACTCTCTGAAAAACATTAATAATTATTTTTCTTTTTCTTCCTCAGAAATACCCACCTTACATTTCATCAAGCATCCCTTTCCTTGGGCATGCAATCGCATTTGGAAAAAGCCCCATTGAATTTTTGGAAGATGCTTATGACAAGGTTTGGCTTCCCACACGACTGGCTGAGCATATGCTAAGATATTAAGTTCTTTATCTGGAGCGTGTTTAAAATTAAGTTGACCACCTCTGTAGGCAATTTGATGACTTTTAAGGCCCTCTCCAGTGTTAAAAGGGCTGATGTGTAAAACCTTAGTATGTTTTCTAGTATAAAAGCCCAAAAGAAATGGAACTAAGGCAGTAGATCCTTAATTCCAGTGAAATAAGATTTATTCATCTGTTTCACATTGTCTAAAGCGTTATAGAGTCAAAAGCTTAAATCTTAGAGAAAGCCAATTTTAGTGTATGGAGATGACTTTTAAACTTTAAAATCTTGTTTGCTCTTAATTACTTATCCATAACTCCAAATCTAGAATATTTTGGGACAGTGTTTGTAGATTATTGGAAGCTATATATGCTGTAATCTTCTTGCTAGTTTTTGTAGTGATCTTTTGTTTACATTTTTTTCAACAAATAGTTTTTCAAGATGTGCAAGATCATGTGTGTTCATTGTAACATTAGACATCGCTAGTAAGTATATTGAGAATTTAAATGTAGTGTAAAAATTTTATATCTTTATTAAATCCGTAGATACTTCTCAGGAGAGTAAGTGATTTATGGAAGCCTTTATGTACATAAAGAGATACAGATTTAATGATTTGTATTTCTTCTTATTTAAAATAAATTGGTATTTCTTTTCCTCTCTTAGTATGGACCTGTGTTCAGTTTCACTATGGTTGGCAAGACATTTACATACTTACTGGGCAGTGATGCTGCTGCTCTACTCTTCAATAGTAAAAATGAAGATTTGAATGCAGAGGATGTATACTCTCGGTTAACTACACCAGTGTTTGGCAAGGGAGTTGCTTATGATGTCCCTAATATGGTATGTATTTTAAATATGAGTAGAAAAGTAGCATAATTTAAACTCTGAGTAGGCAGCCTCTTGGCTCTGTGTGAAGCTGGGTGTTCATACACAGTTCTGGCAGTTGGTAAGCTGTCTCGCATGGATAATCAACACTGAACATGTTTAGGTTGCTGTGTTTACCACCTGGCCATTCAGCAGTCTGGATGCTGTTTTTTGAAACCATCTAATCCCACCATAGAGGGAAAAGCAGTGAGTGAGTCTCTTTTTCCTTCCCTTATAGCATGCTACTGCCTGCAGTTTATTTTTCCCTTTCAAGCAACTTTAGGTCTTCCTTCTGAGAGAGCTTTAAGAGTGATAATTTTTCACCTAGACACAGGAGTATTGATTTGTCAGTTTGCACCACAAGTTTTGTCTTGCTCAGACAAAAATCATTGTGTGTGTGTGTTTGCAGAATACAGCCTGCGTGGGTCTGGGAGCACAATGGCTGTGTCATGGGGTGTTGTTTCCGAGCTAAGCATTTGCTGCATTCTTGCTTGTGCATGTTGTCTGTCATGACAGACTCCTAAACTGCAGAAGCCAACTTTTCCTTGGACAGACCTGCTCCCCTGGGACTCTGTGTTCACTGTATGTTGATGTTGACAGCCTGTTGTACAACAGAGTAGTCTGGGGGCAGAAACAGCATTGAGATATACTTTATTTTTGGATTTTCAGTTTTGGTTTAATTTTGCTTGTAGAGATGCTGGTCATTTGCCTGGTAATAGTTTCTGTGGCCATTAAGACTTTTATTCCTTAGCATACCTCTTCATTCTCCTCTCTGAAGGTACTTGCAGTGGTTGTTGCTGTCTTAATTATATGGCTTAAGGGCAGCAGTCACTAGTCTCCTCTCCTCCACACCAGCATTTTGCAGTGATCCACAAAGTATGTGTGTTGCTCTTACCCCATTCTTTTGGAGATCTCATGTACAACTGGCTACCAACAACTTGCCACTTTGTAAATAAGTAAAGGAGAACTTAGTTGTCTCCCACTTTGCCAGGAAGTCTTCAACTGGGGATAGACTGTCACAAAGTTTGGGGGCAGGATTGTTTAGTTTGCATGGTGGGGTTTTTTTTCACTTGATGGATTTGTGTAGCTCCTCTCGTCCCTTTGTGAATGAAACCAGCAAGACTGCAGCCTGGGTAACAAGTAGGAGATAATTTCTCGTGTCCTAGGAGACCTCTTCCACAAGTGGGGCCATTCTAACAAACTTGTTGTGACAGTCGAAGGTCTTCTTCTTTGGACTCCAACTGTTGTGGGATGTCTGCTTGAAGCTGGAAGGTGCTGGTTTGTCCTTAATTTTGTGAAGGTTCCTCCACTTCTTACAGCTCTTTTGACTTCTGCTGTCATGTTCTACAGTTCATGATTGGATTTGAGTGTCTGTCTTCATTCAAGAGCTAATCCTTTAATAGAATCTAATCTCCTTCAGGAGTTTCACAGAACTTTCTATAAGCTCCTTGGAAATGGGCATTCCTTGTAACTACATTCTTCAGGCATATAGGGATCATTAAGGTCTACCTCATTGGTCAAAAAGCCATATACTGCTTTTTTTCAGAAATAAGGTCTTTAGTTTCTAGAGTTAACTTAGTTTTTTTCCCCATAGTGTGTTTGAGTTCTGCTTTAGTCAAGAGGTTGGTCGGTTTGTATTTACTCAGCAAGCATTGGGGTGTCTGTGGGTAAGTCTACTTAGTTCAAACCTTTGATACTGGAAAGACTCTTTCCTTTTTTCTCTGCAGATTCAGATTCCTCAGAAAATTCACGTGGGCTATGTTTTCCACAGCTGGACTGCTTCCTGTATCTTCACGGATAAAGTTTAACAAAGATAACAGAATTATTTTTCGTTTTAGTACTACAAAAGAGAGAATTATAGCTCCCTTGAGATAGTATTTTACTTGGATGTTACTAAACTTCTGCTTGAAAAACAAAGAAGGTGAAAACCAGAGTATTATCTGCTATTTAAATTTGAGTATCTATTGTACCCTGCAGTCCTAATTATAATCTCTTTTTATTTCTGTATGTTCTTATAGTAGAGATGATAATAAGTTGTTAATTACAGTAATATGATGATCCTTGTACTGATTGTTTTTCTTTCTTGGTTCCTCTAGGTATTTTTGGAACAGAAGAAGATGCTTAAAACAGGGCTAAATATCGCACAGTTTAAGCAGCATGTATCTGTGATTGAAGAAGAAACAAAGGAGTATTTCAAAGCATGGGGAGAGAGTGGAGAAAAAAGTAAGCAAGATCAGATGCATTTTTCCTGTGATTTTCTGAGAAGGAATTAAGGCCAGTGCAGTAAGGTTTTGTAAATGATTTACTGCAAAAAATGAAGAAATTAAAAATGACATTGGTAAAACTGTACTGAACATTAGAAGAAACATGCAAAGTACAGATTTTGTTTAATCAAATTTAAGGCTATTTGAGAATAAAGCTGCTCAGGAAATCACTGGAGGGAATGAAGGACTGTCTTTTGCTTTCTTAGTCAGTTCACAGGGAGCGTACCTGTGGCCTGGCTACATCATGCTCGTTTAGCGCAATAGGAGTCAGCTCAACCTAACTGCCTCTTAGTCGCTAGGAAAAGATCCTGCTCTGACTTTTATACTATTATACTATTTTATAAAAATAATCCAGTGAGCAGCAAAACTCAGGCTGCCCAGAGAGGTTGTGGAGTCTCCTTCTCTGGAGACATTCAAAACCCGCCTGGATGCGTTCCTGTGTGACCCAGTCTAGGTGATCCTGCTCTGGCAAGGGGGGTTGGACTGGATGATCTTTTGAGGTCCCTTCCAACTCCTAATATTCTGTGATTCTGTGAAAACTAACTGGTTTTCCATGCATTTGGATTTCAAGGTGAAGTGTTTGTATGACTCCTTTTATCTTTATTAAGGATTAAGTTTGTGCTGCATGGCTCACTTTGGAAGGACTCTTAGCTCTCCTAGAAATATTTCTAGAAAGAAATACCTTAGGAAAAAGTTGTTGAAATCAACAATCTAATTAAGAAGTTCTCTGAAGAGAACCTGAGAGACACACAAAATTCTAAAATTAGATGCTTTGTTCTCTTAGCAAAACAATCTAAAGCTCTATTTACAATTCTAGTTACTTATTTCTCTCTTCTACAAAATAAAAATAGAGAATAACATGTAAAGCACAGCATCTTGCCTGAAATGCATTGTCAGTATCGTTTTTCAAATCTTTCCTCAGACCTGTTCGAAGCCTTCTCAGAACTTATCATTTTGACAGCAAGTCATTGCTTACATGGGAAAGAAATTCTGAACGAGAAGGTGGCTCAGCTGTACGCCGATTTGGATGGGGGTTTCACTCACGCTGCCTGGCTTCTGCCAGGATGGCTACCTCTGCCAAGCTTCAGGTACCTGAAATAGCAGATGAAGCAACTTAAACATTTTATCTAAACCTCTTACTTGTTGTTCGGAGTTTTTATCTTTCTCCCCTTCCCCCCCCAGTTTCTCGTTTGTAAGCTAATGTAGACATCCCAATAAATTCTCATAAGCATTTTATGTGTTACTTTATACAAAATCGCTAATAGAAGTGTTTTGAATCGCAGACGTCGAGATCGAGCACACAGAGAAATAAAGAATATTTTCTACAAGGTTATCCAGAAACGTCGAATGTCTGAGGAAAAGGAGGATGACATGCTCCAAACTCTACTTGAGGCTTCATACAAGTAAGCCGAGGGTTGGAAGGCTTGCCATTTATAGATGTTTTACTTGAGTTTTGAGCTCTTTGGTTAAAACTGTCTACCACAAAATAAGAAATATTCCCTCATGTTTCTCCATTGGTTTTGTTTCCAGCAATTGTTCCTAGCTCTATTTTTAAAAACAGCTTTTAAAATGGTTATTCAGGTTTCTGAGATTTTCATCAGCGGTCAAGAGGTTGCTTCCTTTCTCTTTGTTGTCTGTTGGGTAATGATTTTCTTTCAGGCTTCTAGAGAATGCCTCTGTCTCTGTTCTCCCTTCTCCCCACCCCTAGATCTTTTGCTGCTCCATTTAAGGTATGCAGCAAAAGAAAAGGAGGAGAAAGAAGGACAGTAGAAGAAATTGAAAATGCTACTTTAGCTGGAAACCTGATCAAATGAAGTTCTAACACAACATCCTTTAACCTAGGGATGGCCGTCCACTGACAGATGATGAAATTGCGGGAATGCTCATTGGGTTGCTCCTTGCGGGGCAACACACGTCCTCCACCACCAGTGCCTGGCTCGGCTTCTTCATAGCCAGAGATAAGTCAATACAGGAGCAGTGCTATGCAGAACAAAAATCAGTTTGTGGGGAAGACTTGCCACCGTTAACTTATGACCAGGTTTGTGTGTTACATTAGTCCTGCTGGGTGCTTTTTATACTTTCAGATGCTTATTAAAAACAAAACAAAACAAAACAGACCCCCCC